TGCTGCATGGTGTGCGCAGGTTCTCTCTGTGTGTGCTGCATGGTGTGCGCAGGTTCTCTCTGTGTGTGCTGCATGGTGTGTGCAGGTTCGCTCTCTGTGTGTGCTGCATAGTGTGCGCAGGTTCTCTCTGTGTGTGCTGCATGGTGTGCGCAGGTTCTCTCTCTGTGTGCTGCATGGTGTGCGCAGGTTCGCTCTCTGTGTGCTGCATGGTGTGCGCAGGTTCGCTCTCTGTATGCTGCATGGTGTGCGCAGGTTCGCTCTCTGTATGCTGCATGGTGTGTGCAGGTTCGCTTTCTGTATTCTGCGCGCAGGTTGTCTGTGAGTGTGTGTGCTGCATGTTCGCTCTCTGTGTGCGCGCAAGTTCTCTCTCTCTGTATACTGCATGGTGTGTGCAGGTTCGCTTTCTGAATGCTGCGCGCAGGTTGTCTGTGTGCACGCGCAGGTTCTCTGTGTGTGTGCTGCATGGTGTGCGCAGGTTCTCTGTGTGTGTGCTGCATGGTGTGCGCAGGTTCGCTCTCTGTATGCCGCATGGTGTGTGCAGGTTCGCTTTCTGAATGCTGCGCGCAGGTTGTCTGTGTGTGTGCTGCATGGTGTTCGTAGGTTCTCTCTGTGTGTGCTGCATGGTGTGCGCAGGTTCGCCCTCTGTATGCTGCATGGTGTGCGCAGGTTCTCTGTGTGTGTGCTGCATAGTGTGCGCAGGTTCTCTGTGTGTGTGCTGCATAGTGTGCACAGGTTCGCCTTCTGTATGATGCATGGTGTGCGCAGGTTCTCTGTCTGTGTGTGCTGCATGGTGTGCGCAGTTTCGCCCTCTGTCTGTGTGCTGCATGGTGTGCGCAGGTTCTCGGTGTGTGTGCTGCATTGTGTGCGCAGGTTCTCTCTGTATGTGCTGCATGGTGTGCGCAGGTTCGCTCTCTGTGTGTGCTGCATGGTGTGCGCAGGTTCTTGGTGTGTGTGCTGCATGGTGTGCGCAGGTGCTCTCTCTGTGTGTGCTGCATGGTGTGTGCAGGTTCGCTCTCTGTATGCTGCATGGTGTGCGCAGGTTCTCTCTGTGTGCTGCATGGTGTGTGCAGGTTCTCTCTCTGTATGCTGCATGGTGTGTGCAGGTTCGCTTTCTGTATGCTGCGCGCAGGTTGTCTGTGTGTGTGTGTGTGTGTGTTGCATGGTGTGTGCAGGTTCTCTCTGTGTGTGCTGCATGGTGTGCGCAGGTTCGCCCTCTGTATGCTGCATGGTGTGCGCAGGTTCTCTCTCTGTGTGTGCTGCATGGTGTGCGCAGGTTCTCTCTCGTGTGTGCTGCATGGTGTGCGCCAGATTCTCTCTGTGTGTGCTGCATGGGTAATGCGCCAAGGTTCTCTCTGTGTGTGCTATGGTGTGCGCAGGTTGCGCCCTCTGTATGCTGCATGGTGTGCGCAGGTTCTCTCTGTGTGTGCTGCATGGTGTGCGCAGGTTCGCCCTCTGTATGCTGCATGGTGTGCGCAGGTTCTCTCTGTGTGTGTGCTGCATGGTGTGCGCAGGTTCTCTCTGTGTGTGCTGCATGGTGTGTGCAGGTTCGCATCCTGTATGCTGCGCGCAGGTTGTCTGTGCGCAGGTTCTCTGTGTGTGTGTGTGCTGCATGTTCGCTTTCTGTGTGCGCGCAGGTTCTCTCTCTCTGTGTGCTGCATGGTGTGTGCAGGTTCGCTTTCTGAATGCTGCGTGCAGGTTGTGTGTGTGTGCAGCATGTGTGTGCTGCATTGTGTGCGCAGGTTCTCTCTGTGTGTGCTGCATGGTGTGCGCAGGTTCGCTCTCTGTGTGTGCTGCATGGTGTGCGCAGGTTCTTGGTGTGTGTGCTGCATGGTGTGCGCAGGTGCTCTCTCTGTGTGTGCTGCATGGTGTGTGCAGGTTCGCTCTCTGTATGCTGCATGGTGTGCGCAGGTTCTCTCTGTGTGCTGCATGGTGTGCGCAGGTTCTCTCTCTGTATGCTGCATGGTGTGTGCAGGTTTGTTTTCTGAATGCTACGGCTGTGTGTGTGTGTGCTGCATGGTGCGCAGGTTCTGTGCGTTTGCTGCATGGTGTGCGAGGTTCTCTGTGTGTGTGCCGCATGGCGCGAAGTTCTCGTGTGTGCTGAATGGCGTGCGAGGCCTCTGTGTGTGCCGTACGGTGCACAGGTTCTCTGTGTGTGTAAGGTGTGCGCAGGTTCTATCATCTCTGTGCTGCATGGTGTGCGCAGGTTCCGCCTCGGTGTGTGTCACGAAAAGAGGGTTCCTCGTTGTCTGTGTGTGTGCTGCATGGTGTGCGCAATTTCTCTGTGTGTGTGCTGCATGGTGTGCGCAGGTTCTCTCTCTCTGTGTGCTGCATGGTGTGCGCAGGTTTGCTCTCTGTATGCTGCATGGTGTGTGCAGGTTCGCTTTCTGAATGCTGCGCGCAGGTTGTCTGTGTGTGTGCTGCATGGTGTGCGCAATTTCTCTGTGTGTGTGCTGCATGGTGTGCGCAGGTTCTCTCTCTCTGTGTGCTGCATGGTGTGCGCAGGTTTGCTCTCTGTATGCTGCATGGTGTGTGCAGGTTCGCTTTCTGAATGCTGCGCGCAGGTTGTCTGTGTGTGTGCTGCATGGTGTGCGCAATTTCTCTGTGTGTGTGCTGCATGGTGTGCGCAGGTTCGCCCTCTGTATGCTGCATGGTGTGCGCAGGTTCGCTCTCTGTATGGTGTGTGTGCAGTTTCTCAGTGTGCGCACGTTATGTGTATGTGTGTGTGTGTGTGTGCGCTGCATGGTGTTCGCAGGTCCGCGGTGTGCGCTGCATGGACCCTATGAGCAGGAGAATGCACAGGGAGTTATTCTGTGGGGCTCCTCTTAATTAATGATTGGCGGGGAGGTGATATTTGCCGGGTGTGCACCATTTATGGAATTATCTGTTTTTCAGTGAGCGTGAATTGGAAGAAGTCGTAACATTTTACATACTTAAAAATAAATCTGCCAGTGTCTTTGTGCGGACAGAGAACAGCGCCAACTGCAGAGATCCAAGAGGACGGCAGAACAGTGAGTGATATTACATTTATGGCTTCTGATACCAGTCTGCACAGCTTGTGCCCAGCTCCACCGGGCCAGCCTGCTCTCTCATGTCAGTTTGTTCGCTCAGTATCTGCCATGCTCCCCGATGCCAGTCTGCTCAATATCGGCCATGCTCCCCGATGCCAGTCTGCTCAGTATTGGCCATGCTCCCCGATGTCAGCCTGCTCAGTATCTGCCATGCTCCCCGATGTCAGTCTGATCGCTTAGTATCTGCCATGCTCTCTCATGTCAGTTTGTTCGCTCAGTATCGGCCATGCTCCCCCATGCCAGTCTGCTCAGTATCTGCCATGCTCCCCCATGCCAGTCTGCTCAGTATCTGCCATGCTCCCCGATTTCAGTCTGCTCAGTATCTGCCATGCTCCCCGATGCCAGTCTGCTCAGTATCTGCCATGCTCCCTTATGTCAGTCTGCTCAGTGTCTGCCATGCTCCCCGATGCCAGTGTGCTCAGTATCTGCCATGCTCCCCGATGTCAGTCTGCTCAGTATCTGCCATGCTCCCCGATGTCAGTCTGCTCAGTATCTGCCATGCTCCCCGATGTCAGTCTGCTCAGTATCTGCTATGCTCCCCGATGTCAGTCTGCTCAGTATCTGCTATGCTCCCCGATGCCAGTCTGCTCAGTATCTGCCATGCTCCCCGATGCCAGTCTGCTCAGTATCTGCCATGCTCCCTTATGTCAGTCTGCTCAGTGTCTGCCATGATCCCCGATGCCAGTTCAATGAGCTCAGTCACTGTGTTGGATTTCAGGTATCCCAGCCACTCGCTCAAACTCTGAGAAGCAGCCGCCAGTGTTGTCTAATCGTTATGCAAACTGCCGTCTCCCGGTAACGTAATTTTCAATGGTGGTAATTGGTCTCCCAGGATACATTCTGCCGCACAGCTTCATCGTCCCTGGAATGTCCGCCAATAGGTGCAAGATGGGATCTTTATTTACATTCCAAAAAATAAATATAATTGTTAAACCCTATCTATTTCCATTGCATTATTTCCAGCAGTGATGATAAACTCAGTAAGGGAATTCTGTACAAAGACCATGGGGGCAACCAGGAATCCAAACTGCAGCGTCTAGATGGAGATTCCTGCTCGTTAAATAATAAAATATTTTAATATTAATAGAATTCATTATGCGACATTCGCAGCAATAATACAGGTGGTGCACATTCTACTGATACTATTTAATAAACAATTACATCCAATAATATAGAGGATATAGAAGAGTGCTAAAAGGCATTCAAAAGGGTTAGAAAAATGGGGTAGAAAACACTTTCAAATAACAATAGTATAAAAAATAAGAAGAAAACTCTCCATTATATTTTTAAAAGTATATTAATAAGCAGCTGCACACTTCAGTGCCAAAACACCATTTAGGGAAAAACCGTTAACACACAGTCAATATAAAAAGTGGAGCGCAGCGATAGATAGAAAATAATAAATAAAATGTATATATTTGTTCTTACTCCAAGTTGGTGGAATTCATTTGCAAAGAAAAAGTAAACAAACAATAGTGTAATCCTGTCATATGCAGTAATAATATAAATGCAAATGACCTTAATAAGTGGAGATCCTCGCTCCTATCACTCTCATACAGTTATAGCGTAAAATCAAAGAGGATGTGTAATACTTACTATCATCAAAAATGGATTAGCACAAAATATAAAAGATGACAAAATGACACAAATCTGGGGTATGAGAATGATAATGACTGCCCCTAACTAGATAAAAGTTAGTGAGTATACGCAGCACATCTGCCGCTTCTCATGAAAGCTCAGTCAATGTATAGGGTGTAGTCTCAGTTCCCGCTGTGCAGCTCCGTCTCCAGAAAACTTCAGTTTGAATCTGCCGCGGACTTCCTTGTCTCCGCACAACGCCAGACGGTGGAACGGATCACCTGGCACCCCGACTGGGTACCTCCGTTGAAGGATGCTCCTAGCGCTTCCTGAGGGCTCCAAGCACTCCAGCCGATACCATAACCACCGTAGACTCCTTCCGAGAGCAAGACAGGAACAAGCTCTTACAAGAGCTTAGAAGTGATTATCCAAGGGAGCATGCAGAGCATAGCAATCCCTTGTAGTGATATAGCAATACCCCCAATAAGAGACAGGACTCTAGATTGAGGGTGAAGAAGAACTGACTGTACTAGCACATAAAGCCTCTTTTATTCACAGTCCACAAACATAGTACTGCCCACAGGGTTTTGCAGAACAACCAATCAATCCGTACAATACACACAGACACTCCCACACAAAATCCTCCCCTCTGCCTGTGATATGATTACTGAACACAATGGTTAATATAATTATCACAGGCAGAGAAATACAGTATTATAAAACATATCACAGGGACCCCAAAACATGCAATACCCCCATATATCCTCGGAACCGGGGGATCTGGGTGAACCACATATCCAAAATTCAGAGACAGACTGACACTATACAGAGACTGAGACAGACATTATACAGAGACTGAGACAGACACTATACAGAGGCAGGCACTATACAGAGACTGACACACACTATACAGAGACTGACACACACTATATAGAGACACTATACAGAGACTGAGACAGAGACACTATACAGAGGCAGGCACTATACAGAGAGAGACACTATACAGAGACTGACAGACACTATACAGAGGAAGGCACTATACAGAGGGACATGTTTGTGAAACAGCTAAATTACCCTCAGTGACTCTTGGTCTCCGGAAACATGGCGCCCAATTGTTCTAATCACTCAGTAGTCGGCCTGTGGATCTCGGGTGTTTAGATCTCTATCGTCATATTGCTGAGTGGCGAAGAATAACCAATAGCTGGGGGAGAGGGGCGTGTCTATCTTGAAATGGGTGTGTTTATCTATGAAGGGGCGGGGTCTGAGCCAGAGATTTAAACCATCAGTACTGCTTAATGTGTGGCATTGGACAATAGAGGTAATTATCACATGGGCTGAATGGGGGGCTGGGGGTGGGAGTATATATAATATATTATAACCAGGGCTGGGAGTATATATAATATATCATAACCAGGGGTGGGAGTATATATATTATATAACATGGGGTGGGAGTATATATAATATATTATAACCAGGGGTGGGAGTATATATAATATATTATAACATGGGGTGGGAGTATATATATTATAACCAGGGCTGGGAGTATATATAATATATCATAACCAGGGGTGGGAGTATATATAATATATTATAACCAGGGGTGGGAGTATATATAATATATTATAACATGGGGTGGGAGTATATATAATATATTATAACCAGGGCTGGGAGTATATATAATATATCATAACCAGGGGTGGGAGTATATATATTATATAACATGGGGTGGGAGTATATATATATATATCACCAGGGGTGGGAGTATATATATTATATAACATGGGGTGGGAGTATATATAATATATCACCAGGGGTGGGAGTATATATATTATATAACATGGGGTGGGAGTATATATAATATATCACCAGGGGTGGGAGTATATATTTATAACCAGGGCTGGGAGTATATATATTATATAACATGGGGTGGGAGTATATATTTATAACCAGGGGTGGGAGTATATATAATATATTATATCACCAGGGGTGGGAGTATATATTTATAACCAGGGGTGGGAGTATATATAATATATTATATCACCAGGGGTGGGAGTATATATTTATAACCAGGGGTGAGAGTATATATACAGAGACTGAGACAGACAGACACTATACAGAGACTGAGACAGACAGACACTATACAGAGAAAGACACTATACAGAGACTGAGACAGACACTATATAGAGAGACACTATACAGAGACTGACAGACAGGCACTATACAGAGACAGACAGACACTATACAGAGAAAGACACTATACAGAGACTGAGACAGACACTATATAGAGAGACACTATACAGAGACTGACAGACAGGCACTATACAGAGAAAGACAGACACTATACAGAGACTGGCACAATACAGAGAAAGACTGGCACTATACAGAGACTGAGACAGACACTATATAGAGAGACACTATACAGAGACTGACAGACAGGCACTATACAGAGACTGGCACTATACAGAGGCAGACACTATACAGAGACTGGCACAATACAGAGGCAGGCACTATACAGAGAGAGACACTATACAGAGACTGACAGACACTATACAGAGGAAGGCACTATACAGAGGGACATGTTTGTGAAACAGCTAAATTACCCTCAGTGACTCTTGGTCTCCGGAAACATGGCGCCCAATTGTTCTAATCACTCAGTAGTCGGCCTGTGGATCTCGGGTGTTTAGATCTCTATCGTCATATTGCTGAGTGGCGAAGAATAACCAATAGCTGGGGGAGAGGGGCGTGTCT